ACTGTTGCAAGACGCAGCTCGTTCGCCGGCGACAGCAGCACAAGTCTGGTCGGGCCTAGCACCGTGTCGGAAATGCAAACACCGGAAATGCAAAGTAATTCATCACTGCGACTGACCCATGGGTCGCTCAACCCACAAGAGTCGCCGCCGTCGCCGCCGCTGCCGCTCCCACCACGGCTGGCCCCGTGCGAGTCATTGCGCCTCACTCCATTGCCACCGACGCCTGCGGGGGCGGCTGCGGCTGCCGCGGTGGCGGCAGCGGCGGCGGCGGCGGCGTTTCGAGCCTCCGGACCGCCTTGCATGGCCGCGCCGTTGGCGCCGCTAACGCCGCCGCGGCAGCTGGCCATTTCTCTGACATTGCGCCCGGCGCCGCTACTCCTGCCGCCGTCGCCGTCCCTAACCCGCCAGCCATCGCTGCCGTCACCGCCGCCGCCACCGTCACAGCAGCCTCAGCAGCTGCAGTTGCTGCTTCCAGAAGACTCGATGGATCCGGCGGCGGTCAGTCCCCCTAGCGGCGGCGGCGGCACGATGCTACGGCTGCCATCGCCGCAGCAGCCGGGGCTGCTTCAGCACAGCTCTGATACTCTGGGCCGCGGGGCGTTCCCACGCGCAAATACTCTGGCGCCACTGGCCGTACAATCCTCCGCGATTGGTCGAGAGCCCGCGGCGGCGGCGGCGGCGACGGCGGCGGGGACGGCGACGGCATCAGGTACGGTGCTTAACCGTCTAACGAGCCTGCATGTCGGACATCGCGAGGAACAACAGCAGCAGCAGCAGCAGCAGCAGGGGCGGCGGCGGCGGCAGGAGGAGGAGGAGACTGACGGCGGCAGCGGATTGCAACTGACGGGAATAACGGCGGCGGCGACGGCGGCGGCGGCGGGTACTTGGGAGGTGGGAGCGAGTAAGGCGCATCAGGGTGCTCCTGCTGCGGCCGCTGCAATGGGCCTTTCGATGGCTACTGCTGCCCGCGGCGGGGCCACCGGCGACGGCGCCGATGACGAGTACGACAGAGACAGCTTCTGCGACGACGACGTCGATTCGATGGTAGAACATCTGCTGCCGCCGCCGCCGCAATCGTTCAGGTCTTCAGCGCCGGCCGTGCACTACGGTGGCAGCGGCGGCCCATGCGCCATGGACGAGCGCCTGCGCCGTACGGCATCATCCATGGAACCCCCGCCGCGGCCGTACACACAGGATATGCACCCGGCGACGCCATCGCAGCGTACGGTAGGTATGGCGTCACGCGGCGGCGGAATGGTTTCGGAGCCGCCGCCGTCGGAATGTTTGGGGGTTCACGTCGCGAGCTGGCTCGAGGAGTTGCTGCCGCCGTCACCCGGTTATCATGCCCAACGACCTGCCGTACGGCCTGGCGGTGGCGTCGCCGCGAAGAGAGTGACGGTGGCGGCGCCGGACAGCTTCAGAACTCTCATGCGCGAGCTTGAGTAGGCTGGCTGGACTCATGCCCTCCTGCCTGCCTGGTTGAGGGTTGCTCTGGAACGGTAGAGGATCGGGACGAAAGGTTTCAGGAACGGCGGATTTGGATCTCGACTTGCTGTCTTGGTTGAACACTTTTTGGTGTTGCTGCTGCTGCTGCTGCTGTCTAAAGTGAAAATAAATGAGAAGATAGAAAGGGGAATAAAAACCCAAAGAGGAAAGGTATAAATGGAAGCGGGGTGGCGACAATGTGTCATACATGATCACCATATCAACACATTGCCGTACATAATCCGTACTCCTGTCGGGCCGTACACATGCAAAAGCCATGCTTTTGCAAAGCTTACCTCATGATGTATCCTTGTCATCATCTGGGATCTCATCCAGCATTCTGGATAGCCATTATAATTGCTTTGTTTGCTCCTCTTGCGTTTATAAATGGTGCGATTCTGTAAGCCTAAGGATGGAGGAAATTGTACGACGACCAGTACGGCCAATCAGCTTCCTCTCTATGGAGGGGACCTGGTGTACATATACTCTGTGTAGTGGTATATCTGTTTATATGGGTGATACATTTCTAAACAGTGTTATAGTGGCCAGGAGGTCTTTGAAAATGTAGCTGAGGTAATGTACCAGCGTACGGTACACGGCTATGAGACCTGTACGGCTGTGAGTGATGTACGGCAGCCCATGGCGGCCTGGTCGTAGGCATAAGGTATAGGCAAATGGCCCTAAAGGTGGCCGGCCAGCTAGCTGAGGCAGCCGTAGTGGTTTTGTTGGGGTTGTGTTTATATTTGCGAAACCCTAAGTTCGCTGCTAGTAGCCCCCGACGTAGTGGTAAGTGCTGGGGCGTTCTCTGAATGCGAATTCGGCAGCTGGTCAGAATAAAACTTCTGTTAAACTAAACACAGTCCTTGTACAGCGCCGTAGAGGTGTGTATGCAAGTATGTATGTCAGCCTATATGTATGAGTGCCGCCCATGTGCCAGGTGTTCAGTTCTAGCTGCAGTAGGCTGGGTCTGACTCGCGTGTATGAATCTGTGATGTATGCTGTGGCCGCTGTACGACATGCTCTGCGTCAAGTACGTGTACCATGCAGTTTGGTTGTGATCCTGGAACAGGTTTGTATATTTTCGAAGCGGCTACTGTAATATTCCTTCCACAGTCGCGAACATCATGGCCGTGACTGCCGCCGCCGCTGCGGAGATGTGGCAAGCAAGAAAGACGTGTCCGCGAATGTTCTTGGCGATGTAAGAGCATTCCCGCTTACTCCTGGCGCGAGGAACCCATATCGATTCTGAAATGATGAAGGGCGCCTGGGGGAAAATTGTCGACATGATGCACTTGTAGAGTTCCGTTGGCCTGGGTACTGGTAGCGTTTTTCATGCCCACAAAATATCAATTGACGAGGAGAATGTAAATTTATGGTCTAACGACCTTTGTTTTACTCTTGTCTCAGCATATCGCAACTTGAGTTCAAAGGCAAAGGGACTTTAGGACCTGACAGACTGGGCGAGGAATATCTTGTAAGGAATATAAGATATTGCTGGAATATGTAAAGTTATTTTTGACACAGCTTCTGTCTCTCAGTGACTACAAGGATCGATGTTCAGCGACTTCGGTTTACCGTTATAGGTAGTTTTAATAGCCGTTGAAACGGGGTACCCTGCTCTATGGTCCATTCTCCAATCACTGGCCTTATATTTAACACATACAATTCTGAAATGTGCAAAAATCGAGGGCCATAAACGTATCTCGTAAATTATTGAAGGGAATGCCAGGTGTTAGCCTGCCTACATTATGCTTTCACTGCAGGGCTTCGTTGCCAGTTTCAGCTATTTATCGAAATGATATATGTTACGCAAGACAATTGAACGTGCGGCTAAATCCACGGCCGATTGGTATCCGCAAACGGAACCTCACTTCGCGTAATCAGCTCATACAAAGCCGCCTGCGACAGACACACCTAACAAGCTTTAAGCTGTACTCACTATTAAGGCATCGCTGTCTAGGGTCTGTTCTCCAAGCTGTGCCCGCTGCTTTTTCCATTTCTGTAGTCCAAGCCGCAGCTGACCCTGCTGCTGTTACGACTTCTACATTCATGGGATCCTCAGTCGCGGATGGCTCGGTTGAGATTTGGGCTACATGTCTCGTCCTGTTCGTTGGCGCGTTGCTGACTGGCCTGCCGCCTGTGTTCTGGTCGTCAGGTCCCTCCAAGCAGGGCATAGCGGACGGGAGGGCCTTATCTCCCCCAGCTGCGAGCCTGGCGGCGTTGCTACAGGTAGGTGCCATTCAACAGCCACAGCTGCACCCGCATCAGCTGCAGCTGCAGCTGCGGGTGTAGGTGTAGGTGTAGGTGTAGGTGGCCAATTGTTGCCCAGGCATGCTGCTGGGCGGCGCTGCTGCTGCTGCTGTTTCTTTCTTCTTCTGTTGCCACTGCCGCTGGTACCTACTGCTGATGCTCTTTGTACTATAAATGCCGTACCCATTGCTACTGCTATTATTACTGCTATTACTCGCGACTGCTGCAACTGCTGCTTGCATACCGAGCTTTCAGGCTGTGGATGAGGCTGTGGATATACACACACACACACACACACACACACGGTTGCGGAGTTGTACACATTCGTCCCAGCTTCTTATGCCGGTGGCTTTCCTCTGCTGGTTGTGCCTTGTATGCCGAATGAACGAATCGCCCCCTCCAATAAACCACCGTATGACTCTCCCGGTTCTCCGTAACCATTTGATACTGCAGGGCCCCGCCGTACGGATGCTATCTGCGGGCCTTATGCTAGGCAGCGGCCTGGGGGTAGTCCTACCCGAGGGGTTTCACGCTTTCGCGGAGGGGTCCAGGGGGGGCCCGGTGAGTGAGTTCTATGTGTGTGTGTGTGTTTAGGGTTTTTCTACACCGTACGGGCGTGAGAGGGCGGGGGAAGCTAAGAAAGGAGAGCGAGCGGGTGTCACGGGGGTATTTTGTCGTTGTTGTTGTACGTGTTCCGTTCCTTCTTTTGGTTCCAGTTTTGTTCTTTCCGGTCCGTTTCTCTCCCGTGTCCCTTTTTTTTGGCTCTTTCCCCTCTTTCCCCTCTTTCTTGTCTGTCTGTCTGTCTGTGTGATTTTCTGATATTGGTTCTTCACCTTAGCCCCCACTGCACTTCTACTTCTACTCCCACTCTCACGTAGCACACCGGATTTCCGGAGTGGTTCTCTGGCGCAGCGCTGCTGGCGGGCTTCGTGGGCATGCTGGTGCTGCAGCTGCAGCTCCAGGGGGGTAACCACACACACGAACGCCCGGCAGTAGCAGTAGCAGGAACAGGAACAAGAGCAGTAGCGGGATGGAGGGCACCGGATGAGGAAGGTGCAGACGCAGGATCAGGAGGACGCGGCGCTGAAGTCGTGAATGTAAACGGTGATGGCGACGGCGCCGACGGTAGCTACAGCCAAAGCAATGGAGGCTGGCGGCGGCGACGGGAAGGCGGCTATAAAGCCCTGCCGTCCGCAGTAGCAGCGGATGTTGAGGTGGCGGCGGCGGGGCGTTACGTACCGTTGCCGCCAGCATCGGCTGTAGCGACCGTGCCCGGGGCGGCACCGGGGTTATTGGAGCTAAGTCGGCGGCACGGGGGAAGCAGCGGCGCCGCCGCCCATGTATCAGTGTCGGAAGAGCCGCCGACGTCGGATTCGTACACGTGTACGGCCGATACGCTGCAGCCGTCGGCGTCAACGCCATCGAAGCCCGCTTGTAGTGCCTGTAGCAACTCGCCCTCCTTTCCCGTGGCTATTCGTGACGGCAACTTGCGCATTGCCGCTACCGCCGCCTCCGCAACCGTTGCGACTGCCGCCGTCGCGCGCGCCGGTGGTGCCGGCGGCGGCGGCGGCGGCGTGTCATCTGCACAGTTGGCTCTCGTGGGGTTGCTAACCCATTCGAGTAGGTGTCGTACACCTTGTGGCGTTAGGGGAGCCGATCGTGAAGACGAAGAAAAAACGAACACTTGCCAACCTATATATACTCTTACCAGGTGTAAACTTTACGAAATACAGTATATTTCATAGACGTACACTACGTGCCTAAGGTTAGCCCAGTGAGTATACTTACGACTAACTCAGTGCATTAGTAATTCTGCTTTCCCTTGTCGCGAAACGTCTGTCTGTCTGTATCGGTGAGCTGAAAACACGCTTATTTTTGTTGACAAGGAACATAACATTGTTAACTTAGTTTTTGTAAACGGCAATCCTCGAAATGAATTTGCGCAGCGGCGGATGGCCTGGCGGTTGGGGCCGCCAGCATCGGCGGCGGCGGCGGCGGCGGCCCGTCGGCGCTGAGCTTGACGGTGGCAGCCGCCATCATGATGCACAAATTGCCTGTCACGTTGGGCCTTACGTCGTACCTCCGGGAGGCGGGCTGGCGGAGGCGCAGTGTACTGCAAGGTACGGCACTAACATTGCCGTCGCCGCCACCAACGATGGCAGTGACGGCGGCGGCGTAGTTGCCAGCAGCTGTCACCCGCGGAGGAAGCACGTCACCGTCAGCATGAGCATGAAAGAGTTGATAGAGCCGAACCTAAATACTCCGTAAGGCACGAAACACACCGCCCGCAAACCCCCGGCCGTAACCTTCTCCCCCCTTCACCCTCCTCTGCGTGGAAACAGCTCTGATCGCTTTTAGCGCGTCCGCGCCCGTTGCCGCGGTGGCTACCTTCTACCTGCTCGGATTGCTGCTCACGCCTGGCGGGGGCGGCGGCGGCGGCGGCGGCACCGACGTCGGCGTCGGCGGTCAGGTTGTGGCGCTTGTCGTACTCTTTTCGGGGGGAACTTTCCTGGCGGCGGCGACACAGCACATATTGCCGGCGGCGCTGGCGGCGGCAGGGGCGGTGCCGCCGCCATCGTCAGGCAGCGACAGCAGCGGCGGCAGCAGCGGCGGCGTAATAGAGAGCAATAGCAGGCTGGAAGCGCAGGAGGAATCTGCGGCTATGAATGCGCTGGACGGAAGACGAGAAGCAGGCAATACGGTGACGGTGGCTGCGGTCAGGGGTGGCGGCGGATTGTCATTAATATGGTTGACGGTTGGGGCTTTGTTACCACTTCTTATCGCTGCATTGCTCCCTGACTAATCGTCGTGAGTCACCAAGAGGCGCTGTGCAGTCTGATTCTGCAGGAAGGAGATATTTTGGAGTTGGAGGTGCTTTGACTGGGATTCAGCGAGATGGTTGGATAACGGTTTGGCGAAGGTTGCCTATCCAGTTCTGTTACGGCAGTCCGTTCGCATTCACTTGGGTTTTAGACGGTTGATTAACCGTCAACTGACTCTTTGAATACGTGAACGTTTTGTATTTATTAGGAATGAAGCCTGCTGTGTGCGCAGCTCACCATCCGGCAGCCAACGACTTCCTCCTCCATTGCCAGGCACCACTACGGACCATTCAGGGCAACTCGACCGTTTGGCTCTTCTTTAACTTGCCAATCCACGCTATTGCCTATCCCCAGAAATTCTAAAAGCTAAAATTGCGGGAGTAGCCTATTTAGGCGCTTTTTTCCCCGGCCGAAAAATGTACTCTCCTCCCTTCCTTAGCGGTCCTATTTAAGCTTCACACTTCCGAACGCCCTTCTTCCTCCCCGCCGGAGACGCTCGTGTGTTCCAGCCTCCCGCAAGCCCACATTTCCTGATCAGGCACCCCGAAAGCGAGGGCTTGCAAACCGCGGCGATCCGAAGGGATTCTTGCATGGAGACTGCCCCAACAGCGCCTGGCTAAAGGGGTCCAACCCTTGAGCAGCAGCGCCGCCGTCACCGCCGCCGCCGCCGCCGCAATTGCCGTCATCAATTCCCGTCAGCGACTCGTGTTTGTACGGCAATAAAAAGTCATGCCAATCATCTGGCTCGCCCTCCACGTGGCCCACGTCAGCCTTGTGGTCATGTGCTGTCGTACAGAGCGAGAAGACAGTACACCGCGCAAGAAGACAGCGCAGTACAATGCAGTACAACATCAGTACATTATGATATGCACACAGTACACAAAGGAAACCTAGCACTAGGACTAAAATTCAGAAACAGTGACCGCCGCACATCCATCCTCCAGGTACATACGATGCACCAACACCGTGCTGAAGGTTACCCCCACGGGCTCCCCCCCCCCCCCGACCCGACATCCATGCACGCCGCCTGGGCCACTCACCCACGGCCATCTGCTGCTGAGCCTTGGCCACCTCCTTCTTCCAGTCCACGAGCAGCCAGGTGACGACACACAAGCCCGCAGCCACAAGGTCGCCCGTGTCGATGCCGATCCAGAGGCCCGTAAGGCCCAGCTTGGCCTGGAGCGAGGGAGCGAGAGCGAGGGCGTGCGAGCGAGGGAGCGAGAGCGAGGGCGTGAGAGCGAGGGGGCGTGAGAGCGAGGGGGCGCGAGAGCGAGGGCGTGAGAGCGAGGGAGCGAGAGCGAGGGCGTGAGAGCGAGGGGGTGAGAGCGAGGGGGCGAGAGCGAGGGGGCGTGAGAGCGAGGGCGTGAGAGCGAGGGGTGAGAGCGAGGGCGCGAGAGCGAGGAAGCGAGAGCGAGGGGTCATGAAGACAGCGATGAGGGCTACCCTTTGCGGAAATCAGTGTTGTGGGACACACCAGGTTTGGCCTTGTTCTATTGGTTTAAGATGAAGCATGAAAGACGACGATCCTTCCCCTGTAGACGTAACAACAAAAGCCCCGGACTACGATACCACACCACATACCACCGTTTCAAAAATCTATACAGTTGTTCGAGTTAGGATTCAAATGTTGAAATATTTCGGGTTCGGGTTATTACACATTAAGTATTTTATTCGTATTCCTTTTCCTCGCCAAACGTAATCACGAGCCTACCTTGAACGTCAGCCACCAGCCGAACGCAACACCCATCAGCCAAAATCCGATCAGGTTGTACAGCATGAGTTGGTGCTGCCGACCCATGCCCCTGAGCACACCCTGGCTGGTTCCAAACGCCCCGTCGCAAAACTGTTGGTATGTGTACGGGACAGTCGTAGGTTGGGTTAGGGGGAAGGGGGAACATGATTAATTATTTTATAATTAATTGTGATTTTAGGTCCTAAATAGTGCCTGGGCAGTGTGCACATCGCTGATCAGCGTCGCATCCGCCGTTAAAGCCGTTCATTTATTATCTTTTTATTTTATTAATCCTATTCATGTAGGTGTTGATCCTATTCATAATGGTCGCACACGCACATTGCACATCCTGAAGCCGGTCTCAGATTTATAGAGTACGAGGAGGAAAGGCGCTAGAGGGAGCCAGAAAGGGCAACGGCGGCCAAAAAAGCTGCTCCAGGAGAAGGGGCTTTGCCACCAGGGGACTGCGGAGCTCACCCTAGCGCCGTACAGATTAGGAATAATTTTTTTTATTCCCGCGACTAAAAACCTATTCCTCCGTTCGGACTGGAAAATTAACGGGCAAAAATGAAAACAAAAACACTGGTTGGTCCAAAGAGCTTAAATTATAAATTCTAAAAATTCTAAAACCCTAAAACCCTAAAAACCCCACTGATCCGAACTAAAGACGGGAAGGAGACCTCTCTCGGCGACCACCTTCCCCCTCCCCACCACCTCACATGGAAAATAATTCAAGGTTTGCCTTGTGCTGTTGACGTCTGCGGCCCAAACCCCTCATATCCCCCTCATATCCCCCACGAGCCCCCATAACCCCCATAACCCCCATAACCCCCCCAAACCCAAAAAGCCGACCTGGAATGCCACTCCGAAAATGACAATGGTCGACACAATGGCCACTACCTCCGGGTCGCTCGTGAAGATGAACCCCAGGTGGGAGCGAAGCAGGAACATGACCACACCGCAAGTACCCTGACGGTGTGCGTGCGTGAATCGGACGGGGGTTCGGGGGGTGGCGTGTCGTGGGTTTTGGGTGTCGTACTGTATGATAACGGGTTTAAATGTGTGCATTTGGGTTTGGGAGAGGGACCAGAGGGAAGTACGACAGAAGGAAGTAAGACATTCACTTTGGTCGGGGGGAGGGAGAGGGGAGGGGGAGGGTGACGAAAGGACCTATGACCCCCACCCTTCATTCCTACCACCACCCGCTAACCCCGTGACAGGACAACTACCCCCCCTTATCCCCCCTTACCCCCTCGCCCCTACCTGAAAGATCGTCCCACTTAAAACGCAGAGGGTCGCGGCCAAAGAGGCCTGATGTGTACGACCCGCACCGAGCAGATTGCCCACACGAATGGTGGCTACAGGGGGCCGGGAAGGGAGGGTTGCGGGAGGGGTGAGGAGGGAGAAGGGGTTTCCTTCTTCGGAGGACAAAGGCTTATGAGGTGAAGAATGAACACCGCACCACATCGGATTCCAGCAACATTTTAAGACACTGACACACACCCATATATTTATATATATGTATATATTATATATATGTATATATATGTAAATTAAAAAAAAATTATATATAAATTAAAAAAACTAAAAATCTATGACCAACCCCTTTGACTCATTCCCTTGAACTTGGGCTTTTCCATGTCCCATGGGAGTCACCAGCCAATCGTCGTGAAAGCTTTCATGTAACCCACCATACCATATCGTACGGGCCCCAAGCAAAAAGAATTAGCCCACATCAACCTCCCCTACACGTACATACATACATACATGGCCGGGGGGCGCTGGTGAAGCTTTACCACCCTGTAACAATATACATACATGGCATACATACGTGGCAAATACAAACATGAATACAGGCAGACATAAAAGACATATATACAGACAGATAGACAGACAGACACACACACACCCGCCGTGGCCACCGCGAATGGGAAGCTGATGAAGGTGTAGGTGCACACCCCGAGGAGTGTGGAGTGCGCCGACACCTTCTGGATGCCCAGGGCGCCGGCGAAGGCGGTGGTGATCTCGAAACTGCCTGCCTCCAGCGCTAGCATGCAGCCGCCTGGGTGGGGGGTTGAGGGGTTGGGGGGGAAATGTTGGAGACGAGGGAGATGTGGGTGTGTGTGTTTTGTTGTGCGGGGCGGGGGGGGAAATGGAGGTATGTATGTATGTGTGGGTGTAACAATGGAGACATGTAGCCGTTCCTTCCTCTCGCCCCTCTCGCCGCCACATGTATGTATGTTGTTACAGGGTGGTCAACTTCGCCAGCGGCCCCCTTTCCCGGGGCAGTCCCTGCTCTCCCCTGCTAGAGGGGCACCCTAATCCGTCACCCCATCCGACTTCAGAATGTATTCGTTGGGTTCGGCAACTCACCACCAGCATCCAACCAAATCTAGCGGATCAACGGCGCATCAACTTAGTTCCTGGTCAGCTCGCAAGTTGATATTATCACGTCCTACACCGTCCATAAGATGGGGGGCCACCTCCCATTTCATCACTCCTCAAACACCCGAGGAGCCGGCAGGCGGATTTGAACCCGGGTCGACTGGGTCGACTGGGAGCAGAAGTCAGGCCTTAACCTCTGCCAGCCGCCTGCCATGTATGTATGTATGTATCTGAATGTATCTGAATGTATCTGATTGTGTATAGGCAAAGCACGTTCTTAAATACCGCCATTGACCTCCCAATTTCCCCCCTCCCCTATTTTCCCATACGGACATTTACAGACCTTACATTCCACGACTCCCTCCCCCCCCACCTTTCACCCCCAAACCCCACATTCGTTCCCCCCAAACCCCACATACCTGGTATCCCCAGCTGCATGAACATGTACAGCACACCGGGCGATAAGGCCTTGGTCCAGCAGCGCCGACTGCGGGCTAACCACCTGCCCCAACCACCTGGATGATTTTTGTGTTGCAAGACCAACACAACCCCCAGATATACGAACAGCTGCACGAAGCGCGACACGCTAGTCGCAATGGGCGCGCCCTAGGAGAGGATGAGGGGGGTGGAGAAGGGGAGTTTGCAACAGGAGGCGCTGGTTGGTAGTAGTTAGGTGTTCGTTAGGATTCAGTTGGTAATGGCGCCTTAGTAAAACCAAAAATTAGTAAAACCCTTTAAAAAATGCGTACCAGCATCCACAGCCTAAAAACTGTTCATATTCTCTCTTCGTTCACGGTTTGGATCAAATGATGAGTTGCACAGCAGACCAAAGTCCCCACTTGCCGCTATGCAGGCATGCCCTGCCCTGCAAAACGCGACCGAGCAAATGCCGCTGGGTTATCCACCGGCTCCCCCGCACCCACACAAGCCGACCCAGCCCAGCCCGCTTACACACATACATACATACATACATACATACATACATACATACATACATACATACATAGGGTTGAGGAGTGGTGAGTGGAAACAGGTGGCCGTAGCGAGGGCGCGGATGAGGGGGAGGTGGGCACCCAGAAGGGGGGGCCGTACTCGAAGGTGCGCGCGTGGTGCAGGACTAGGTTCTTCAGGGTACGAGACCGGGTTTTTCGTGGTGCGGCGTCTAGGTGAGATAGGATCTTGGGAACCAGCCGTCTTGGTAGAGCGGTATTGGGGGGGCGCCGAGCTGGCTACCCTCCCCCCCTGTGGTTTCCGGAGGCTTGATCGCCCTGCGTTGCCGCAGGGTCTTCCCGTTTGAGTACTTTTCAATTTAGACCCAGTGCTGTGGAAGGGCGCGGACTTGTGCGGTGTTACCCCCTCGACGGGGGCTATCTCCCCTGGACTAGCCCAGGGAGGGAGAGGCGGAGGAGGGTAGTAGTCTCAGGAGGCTGTTTGGCGTCTTGTGGTGTGAGCTCTTTGCGCTCTTTTTTGCGTGAGGATTTTTGAGCTTGGTGACCTCCCCAGCCCGGGAAGACTCGTCGGGCTCCCGGTCGCCCAAGTCCTGGTAGCGAGCTCTCTGAGATGCTCGGTTCGTTCGGTCGGCAGGAAGAGCCCCCCAGTTGCGACTTCGTTTATGTTAGGAGACCAACGGGCATAGATCCCGTCTAGTTGGAGCGCCAAACAAGCGCTGTTGCGTGCCGGCCGTCGTTTCCCGTGCGGCCTGACCCGGGGGCGGAGTGCATGAGACTAACCAGCCGTATGCACCCGCCCCCCGCGCTGTGCTTCGGCCCTGGGCCCCCGGCTTTTCAGCCCACAGTGTAATCAACGTCATACATACATACATACATACATACATACATACATACATACATACATACATACATACATACATACATACATACATACATACATACATACATACTATGTACTAGATACTAGACACTACATCCATCATGCATCATACCATACATAAGGGTTCAGTCTTTGTCTTTTTCACTTACAATAAAACCCAGGTAATGTACGAATACGGCGTTACTCAGTACGTTGAAGGCGCACGTGCTCGCCGCCACCACCGCCGGCGCCAGCATGCAGTTTTGAGTTTGCATGAACTTCATGAGGACGACACTCCACATCTGTTTAGCGATCGCGATTGCAATGTGGTGGATTGCCGTTAGTCGGGAGTTTTGGATAGTTGGGAGGGGTCCAGTGCGGTGATCCCTGACATTGCTGTAACATACTGTAAATTCGTTAAGGTGGTTTCAAAGCTTCTTGCCGTACCATGCAAATACCCTTGTAACCGATTATTCCAACCGAAAGCAACAACCTCATTCGTTCCAGGTAATAAAAAGTTATTGTCAACAGCCCAATCTCAACTAATCTCCCGATTTCCACTTGTCCCACAACCACCTTAACAACCCTTACTACCGCAACCGCTCCAACCGCCTACCATAGGCCACAGCCCCGGTATGAGCCAGCGGCAAAACAGCGCCACCTGTTCCGCCACCTCCGGGGGCTGCAGGAACAGAAACACGGCCACTTCGCGAGCGTACCACAACCCCACCTACGGGGCGTTACAATCCGCCATGTGCCGTGTGAGAGTGGGAAGCGGGAGAACGGTCGGGACGGAAAAAGGGGGGGATGTGAGGAGTTTTGGAGTGTGTTAAGGTGGTGTGCATGTATGTATGTATGTATGTATGTATGTATGTATGTATGTATGTATGCATGCATGTGTGCATGTATGCATGTATGCATGTATGCATGCATACGTGCTGTGATTTGGGTCAAACAGCATTATTGGCGTGGAAAGGTATAATCACCACTCGCCACCTGCCAGTGCAACATCTGAACTGAGAGCCCCAGCCAGCCACGCACCCACCGCCATGACGCCGCACAAGGCGCTGAGCACCAGGCCCGCGGTGTAGGTCCACGTCAGCAGGGAGCTGTAGTCGTTGCCACCTAGGTGGGGGTGCGGGAGCCAGGGGGACGGGAAGGGTTTGGGGGTTTGGGAATTGGTTTTCAAAGGCCGTGGGGAAGGGTGATGGGGGGAGGGTGGTGGGGGGAGGGGAACTTGGGTTTTTTGGGGGAGGGGGAAAAGGGTTGAGATGAGACACGGGTGGTAACACGGGAATGGTTGAGAGCACGATGCGGCCCTAACGTTGAAAATTATATGTGAGAGCCCATCCGCGGCTTAGTAGTGTTATGTTTATTAGGACCCAGGAAGTGCGGATCAAGATCATGGTCAGGTGGAATCCAGGATCCAACGACCAGAATCTTGACTCGGAACCGACCCAACTACCGAACTAACCGGCCAGAAAACTAACGTATTTTGCTGAGAGCCTGAGACTACAAAGCCCGGGCTCTTGAATGTACTGCAAGCCATGACCTTAACGAGAATGGGCAGCTCTTTGATAATCGGTGCCAAATATGTGCTGCCAAATGATAATCGGTGCCAAATGTGTGTACCTGTAGATACGCATTTTTAACGGATTCTAGGAGAACATGGCAGAAGCGCTGTTAGATTTCCCAGAAGAACTCTTCCGACAAACCACCAGTCATTACCGTACGCTTGGCTGCCCAGCGTATCGAGCGCAGTGGAACACCCAAGAAGAAAGAACCACATCAGGTTGAAGTACTGGGAGGACGGGAAAAAGAAGGTGGAGGACGGCGGGAAATAGCAGGTGGAGGGTTAGTGCGGTAGAGCATGGCTCTCCTAGCGATGGCGATGGTTACGTTCTGGCGACCATCGCCAAAGAGTTACTCCTGTGGTAAGAGTACTCAGAGTTTATATTATATCGTTTAAATAGTCTGGAATGCAAAACATTTATAGATTCCACAGGAGATGCGCGAGAGCTAACTAGCTAACCGTTCCATGCAGGAGCTCACCGTGTTGCCGAGAGCAGCTGCCGCAAGCTGGGTCACCCCAAGGTGTCCAACGAAAATCTGGTCTGTGACAACCATAGTCTGGGGGAGCATTTAATGGGTCATTAGCTATGTCGGCTTTCGACTGCACCGCACGTGCTTGCGCGACTACCACAAGAGCTCCGAACGTATCGACCATAACAAATGCCGTCGTAAACATTTCATAAAATTTGTTTCTAAGCCTGATACAGGAGGATGGTTATCTTCGCTGTTCGCTTACCTGAGAACTGCAAGTCGTGACGATGCATGGCAGCGCCAACATAAATATAGACCGCAGCTCGCGCTTCCAAGCTCCCTTAGGAAGTGGGAGTTCTCCATTCTCTAAGAGTGGCACGCCGGAGTCGTCAGTGGTTCCGGATGGCGGCATCTCACCCTTACGGGACAACCTGAGCCCTACAAAAGCCCCGGCTAAGTGACAACTTCCTTGAACAAATAAAAGAACATTTCGTAAAGACTCATGATTTTATCTAACCACGCTAAGGCTGGTTGCTTCGAGAGCATAAGCGACGCTCCGGAACCAGGATGCGAACTGCTGTAAGTAATTCGTACTGCAGCCGTTTACATTTCCAACATAGTTAAATAGCCATGCAACCTCTCGTGAGCATGAGAGCCCGAGGACGACGCCACACCAGCCTTTGCTTCACCCTCCGATGTGCGGCCGGAGCCGTGCATCTCGCCGACTCGCGCCGACGTCATTCAGGTTCTTGGGTGGCATAACAGCCACGATTTCGCCCATGCCAAGATCGCGGCACCATGGCAGCGGCGTGGCGGATGAAAACGCGGGGAAAAAAGTGCAACAGCGCTATGGGAACAACAGGGGGTTGTGCAGCGGAGGAAAACCCTATCGACGGCATGTCACGCCTCGTACTACACCTTGCAGGTTGCCGCAGGGTTGTCGTACCGCCCCCTGCCCTGCACTGCCCAGTCCTGGATCCCGCTTCCTTTTTACCCCCCATATACATGGCCTCCATGGCCTCCCGGCTTAGACAGACCCCGTGCAGCACTTGTAACTTGTAACTTTAAACCACGGTATTCGAAACAGGAATGTACGACATGATCTCCTTGTGTAACGAGATGTGACCCATTCGGGGCTTACCATATCGCAAGCAGGCTCACGGGTAAGAGGAGCCTGTCAGCTGAATGGGGGTGGGAGACTGGGGACAAGCCTTTTATTTAAAAAGAAGGTGCAGCGTCATATAGAGTCTCCAGTGTGCCCCGGCGGCGGCCTACGACGGCCCCTTGCCGCCACATTCTGCCTCACTCTATGATACCATTGTGGCGTCATATTGCCTTTATTTCGTCATTTACTCGCGCTGTATCTGCTTTTGTATGCGTATTCGGTTCAGACATCGGCAAGCATTTCGGGCGCTTCGGGTCGTACCGAAACTCCCCAAAACAGAAATAGAATTCTCGAACCCGGCCCGCTTTTACAGAAACAGCGGACAACCCGCGCGCCATCCCGTACGCAAGCTCCTCTGCAGCCTGAAGGGCCCCCCGAGGCCAGAGCCGGCAGTCAGCCTCCTTCCGCACATCCCCATTCCCCGACCACATGGCACGAAAGGGCCGGTAACCGACCGATCAACTAGTAGACCCTAACCAGTCGCTTCGTGAGGGTTACCGATATTTTGAGATAACGACCCGGTACCTTACCGGTCGTTTATCTCGCCGACCAGTCACCGTATCTGTCGGTGTCTTTCGGTTTTAGAGCTTTCGGTTTTATCGTCAGCTCCAAAAAGGGATACCTAATCGCCGTACATTCGCTTCGTTAGATCTGCTTCTCGCTTCGCCGCAACTTACGAACCCCAGCCGAACTCCCCTCAGGACAGATTAACTACCCTTACCGCTGTTGATAAGCCCCGACGCAGATCGGCATCTGCTCGTTGCTACTTGTAATTGCGTAGGTGCACCTCTGTCACGTTTACAGCTCCACCTTGTGGTCAAGTAAGGTAAGCCTTTAGCCTTCTTGTGGGGAGCAGAGTGCCTTACTATCCCTTACTCAAAAGAATGTCTGACGCAAAGGTTGATTGCGAATTGCTACGGTCGCGCAGCGTTCCTCGAGGATGTCAGGGGTTTGCAGTGCACGAGCAGTTGGCCCGATGGCTCTACTCTTCGTGAGTCTGGAGCCCACTGTAACAACCACACACACACACACACACGGCAGTCTGCGGTTCTGCCTTGGACTTTGGTAAATCGGCGTCCTTGGACATTGAATGTCACAAGTTTACAGTGCCATGCGCCATAAAATTGAATTGACATGTTGAAAGGGAAGAGATCTGGAAAGTTAGGCACAGGCTGTTTGTCCAGCACCGTACGAAGGAATTTAACATAGATCCTTTTGTACAATTTTCATTTGTGGATTGCCTTTCTCTGAGGTAGAGTTGAAGAAATACTCGTAGCCTCGATGTAATGAATGGGCAGCTGTATACTAATTTTCTTTCGCAGGCTTTCCATATCGTAAACAGTGCGCAAGACGCGTTTCGAATGGAGGATGGCTTAAGAAAAACGTAGCTCCAGTAATTTGTGATACCAAATGAGTAGTAGGCTACACTCCTTGGCCCTCTGGCCAAACTTGCTGATTACCATTCTTCCGTTGTTGGCGGCCAAACCCTTACCGGACTGGCTTCATCGCTGTAAGTTCTTCAATAACCTTAGTACATACTTTGATTCGTTTTATGCCTTTGGGCACGTGCTTAGCTGTGGCCTTTCCTCGGGGTGTTACAAAGAACAACTAACATGGTTCTTTTGTTTGCACAACTTCGGATGCTAGTGGACTGGTGGTCCACGGGAGAACAACGCCCTGGTGTCAGTAATGGCCATATAAAAGCAGTTGACCTGGGAGCAGGAAGCTCCGCACTTGTGGGGCAGGACGAGCAGCTTCCGCATGCGAATGCTCACCAACAGGCCTGGCAGCAACCCCAAACCCAGACACAACAGCAACAGCAACATCAACAACAGCAATGGGTCGAGGTGGGCAGCACACGTTCGTGGACCCACCTCGCCATCCTGCAGGCTGGTGGCTGCATCGACACCACCTGTACGGCTCCGTACACTATGTACATTGATAGTACAGACCCTGCGTACGGCATTACTGCTACTACGGACTGGCCTGCGGCGGGGATCATATTCAGTAGCAGCACCAGTGGTGACGGCAGTAGCAGCAGCAGCAGCAGCACTTCCAGCAGTGACCCAGGGAAGGCTCTTGATGGCAATTCCGCGGGTATGGCGAGCACCGATACTGACAGCTCGCAGGACGTTTGCCTCATGCTGGTCGCCACGGGCTGCTTCGCGCCGTCAGCTCGGACACCCTGCTGTGCTGCCCTGGCGCGGCACTTGCGCCAAATCGAGGTCGCGATAGGTCAGAATTTTGTTAAGTAGAATGCATTCCTGTAGCCTGTTTGCTTTTTAAATAATATTATGTTATATTTCAAATATTTCATACTTGTCCTCATTCTCTTTTTTGTTTGTTTGTTAATTTATATTTTTGTTTCTTTGTCCTATGAGCTCCATCTAAGCTACCACATCACGTATTCCCGTGTCGATACACGGCGCGGGCGGCACCGCCACCACAGACTCGGCGTGTGCTGATGCGGTTTCCGGCGCGACTCTCAACGGGATTAGCCTCGCAAAATACATCTCCGTCGTCAACACCTCCACCTCTTCCTCGTCGCCGTCGTCCTCGTCACGACTTCGCATCGGCGGCCTTCAACTTGATTATTGGTCCGCTTTGAACTCCCGCCTCTGCATAACGTTACGGCCGCCGTGCAACAGCCTGGCCAAATTGTGCGGCAGCAAAAGCGCCGCCGGCACTAGCTACTGCCTCGTGTCGTACGAGAACAAGGCCGGGGACGCGGCGCGGTGCTGCCCAACATGCCAGCTGCCCGTGGGAGATGAGAGCGGTGACGATGGGCCGGGTGGCGGTGGTGGTGGTGGCGGCGGTGGCGGAGGCGGTGGGGGGGGAAGTAGAGGTGGCGGGGGTGGAGGTGGGGGAGGAGGCGGTGGAGGGCCGGGTGGAGGTGGCGGCGGAGGCGGTGGGGGAGGTGGCGGAGGCGGTGGACAGCTGCTGGCGGCGGCATGGGGGCTTCGGGGGCGAGACCCGTGGGTCGGTAGTACGGCGTCGGAGAGCACCGCCGGGCGCGTCTACGGCAGCCTTGCCGGCGGCGATCGTGGCGGCGGCAGTCTTTGGCTTGGCGGCGGCAGCACCGGCAAACCGTACATCATTGGAGGACGGCACCACGGTAGCAGCGCCGGCAGTGGTGATGAAGGTGGTGGCGGCGGCGGCGCGACGTTACGTAGCCACACATTGCGTCACCGGCTGGTACGACCGGATGGCGTGTTGGCGGAGGTGGAGGAGGAGATGTTGGAACTGTCCGGGGGCGGCGGCTCGTCAACATCATCCAGCGCCGCCGCCGCCGCCAAAGCAGTCGGCGGCGCGGACGGGCCGTACGGGGCCAGTGTACGGGGCTCGCTGGGGTCACATCCCGCCAGGATGGAAACGGGCAGTGGCGGCGGTGAGGCGGCAGACGGCGGAGCTGACGGCAATGGCGGCAGTGGGCCCGGGATGACCATCGTGCGGGGGGCACGTGGGGGGGAGGACCGAGTGGAGGTGCGTTGGTGAGGTGGGTGGGGTGGAAAGATGGATGGGAAGGTGAATAGACTGCCTGATTGAGCGTTGAGCGGGGATTGTGACGGGTGCGCGGGTGTCCCGTGGGTCACTACACCTCCCCGCTTTGCCGATTTCCCCAGCCACATACATGTATGGCAGTAATAAAGGTAACAGTTGCGAAGGGCTTTTTCCAGTTCCTAGGGGAGGGGGAAAGCGTCTCAGTGAAGACCTGTGTGCAACCTGTGGTCGATTTCACGATTGCCTTGGCAGTCCTTGGCTTGGTGGTTGGTGGTTGGTGGTTGAAGTGTGGCGGTTAGGATACAAGAGTAAGTTAGCTGCATCAAGACTCTGTCGACGAAAGACGACTCGCGATTGCGGTGGATAAGCGTCAGGTGAATTCTGTCGTACTGAGCCACAATGACAACCGTGGCCAATTTTGGCAACAAGGGAAATCAACGGATCAGCGGTATTTTTCATGTCGGTTAATGCACCACGATTTACTGGAGTTCTCCTCAACAACTTAAGTGTCGGTGGCTGCTGTTGGATTTGCATATCACGACAGGAGAGTGTTTTTTTTATTTATGTATTTTCTGGAGGTCTGAATCCATGTTGCTGAGTTGATACTTAGGGGCTCCTCATGCCCTTATTGTGTTCTTCTTAGGGATGTCTGCCAGCCTTCCCTACCGCCTTTTCCCTTAATTTTATTATGTATTAAAGTTGGCATGCCGGTACCATGCGGATCAATCGTGCGTCTTTTCTGAGTTCCACTGGATAGAATGAGACCTCCTCCATCCGCTAACGTGGGATGCCGTATTGTGAGGTGCCGTACTTGTTTCGCCGTACAGTTTCTTTTAGCTTAGCTGTGCGCGGCTTTTCCCTATGCTTGGATAAAGAGGCTGACTTATGTTTCCTAAAGATGAGAAGCCTGGCAAGTTGTTTATATAGGCCCCGGATGGGCAGGCGAGCAATGAGTGACATGGATGAGTAGAATACCCTGCTGTACGGCAGGCAGCTGCCACGTCAGCTTTCTCCTCTGGGTACCATTTTCCGCAAAGCACGGTTATTACCGTACGGCACAGCGTGTGTAGATCTTCTGCTCAAAATTCCTACTATTTGCCTTCTTTACCTCTTGGTCGCGGCATGTAGGAGGAAGTTGCGTTTCTCTGTCCTCTTTATCCTCGCAGTACGACACCGTACATCACTATGTATGTACAAATTGAATGTCCTGCTGGTGCCGCTAGCAGTGGAGATATGTGTCGCGGCAATGTGTCGTTCCACCAACTTCCATTACTTCCTGCCACCGGCCCTTTCTCTTGCGTCTTCCGTGTAAGACGCTTTCTGTATTTCAATTTCAACAGCGGGCACTGTATCATAGCGTATCGCCGTAACCCAATTTTCTTAAGGTATTTGGTCTAGGCGGTGTTTGGTTGGTGCGTGGTTAGGTATGGTTGTCCTGGTCCTCTGTGATGGTGCTGCTGTACTAGAGTAGTGGAGGGGGGGGAAGGTACTCGGACGTGTTGGGGCAAGTGGTGCTCCTCATCAGCAGCCGTCCTGTAGCCTTATAATGCCTCCAGAGAGTGTGTGTGCGGTATAGGGAATGTGAAGTGTATGTGTTGTTTGGTAATTGTGTAGTTTTCTGCTCCGTTATACGGTGTGACTGGCCTGCATGTGTATGTACGAGCCGTACACCCTACTCCGGAATGCCCCCCTCCGCCATCTGTAATGTCTCTGCGCTTTCCGACCCGCAGCTGACTGAAAAGCAGACGTTAATTTGTTTAGTTATTGGATAGTTATGATAATGATGGCAATGAGAGTAATGAGTTCTTTCTAGGGCTTGAATGCATGACAGGTTTGTAAGCTGGTTGGCAGCATAACCAACTCTATAATCACCTTAATAAAAAACGTGCTGTCCGTCCGTCTGTCCGTCCGTCCGCCTCGGAGGAAACATGTTCTTAGGTTTCTTACATCGCGCTCTTGACAAGACCCAACAGTGCGCTCATCCCTACCCGTGTGCTTTAGGAGGTTGTTGAAAACCCTAGGTGCCCCATCTGAAGCAGGCTACAGAATCATGCGTGGTGATGATGATTCAGTGAGTAGTGAATATCAACTGCATGCAGTAGCTAGGGGGCGGCACCCTATAGGGGGCGGCACCATTGCGTACAAATGCACCTGCTGCCAACACTCATTGGTGCGCACAAACCAAACCCATGCCTCAAGCATAAAAGCCCGTTCCAATGATCGTTCAGCTGTATGCATGAAGCTCTGGCAGCTGAAGATGTGGGCTGCAGGAGGGCATCGGTGGTTGTACGAGTTGGTGCATTAAGTCTAAGCTTGGTCTTTAAGCCTGTAAAAATATGCAATAATTTGATTTCATGCTCATAATGTCAGGAATAATTTCAGTTCTTTGCGGAGACCACCTAAGGCACCTCAGTTGATGGCTCTGAACGAGTCAAAAGGAAGCTTGGGAGGCCCCAGGACCCAGGACCAGACCGTTTGGGTTCATTTGACTGCAATACCAAGTCAACGACATGGAGCGTCTCCTACAAGTACTGTCCGCAAGTCCTGAAGCAAGGGCGTCTCACAGCCATGCGCTTAGGAAGAGGAGCTAGGCTTTAAAGGAATTAAGCACCGGAAGATATTTATGACGGAACCCGGAGTTCATGGGGGCATGAGTATGCGTTGAGATTTGATTGATACATACAGGTTAATGGGAGCCCGTCAGGCAACGGGGTTGGCTGCGGCCTGACGCAGGACATAGCTTAACCCATGGCATGGTTTTTTCTATGAGCCAAGAGGCTTCATGTACGATTTCTCTCTCTCCTTGTGTAACGATATGAGCGAGTGATGTGTTCACTGAAGGACTCTTATTTCTAACAGTACCTCTGTCAACAGATGATCACTTATCCCAGAACAGTCCAATCAGCAAACCGTCAGATGCCGCATGATGCCGTTACGTAAAATTCCCTATACCTGTGTAGCCCTCTCCCATGAATACAATTTGCAACTCTTGCACGAAATAGACATATAGGTCACAAAGGATACAATTCTAGGTCTGTGCTACGTTTGGGTAGGTGACAGTTGGGTGATCACGAGACCTGAGAGCTGTCTGAGGGTATCAACAATAACGGTTCACTGCTGCATATCTCGCACCAGTGACAAGACCAGACATGACCAAAAGGAAATACTCCTTTTATGTCTACGGCTCCGGCCGTCGGACGGCCTTTCGGGCCGCAGATGAGCTTTCATATACGGCGGATGGTCATATTACTGCAAGCGGTTCGGCTTCGGGAACTCTATTTCTGTTTTCGTAGTTTCGGTACGACCTGAAGTGCCCGAAGCGTTTGCCGATGTCTGCAACAGAGGAGCCAAAACACGTATGGCCCACCAGGTATGCCAAAGACCTGAAAAGACGACGCTTAAGCAAGAGATGCAGCAAGGGGAATGAGTCAATCCATGCTGCCCTCTCTTGGAGTACGATAAATACTATATGTGTCGTACTCTGCCGATGAAGCACGCGAACCGCAGTCGATGACCAGCGCCGTCTTGCGAAAGTCGTTAAGATGTTTCACATACTCTGAGCGTACAACACGTAAAGTCATCTTGGCGTGTCTTCGGCACCTAATGCCGTGCTGGGTACTTAATGCTTTGGCCATTGCTGTGAGATCTCCTATTAGATTACTCAGTTTTTCTCGTGCAATTGAAGCGGTCCACGAGCCTTGGGGTTCGCCTGAACCGTACGAACTCACTGAAGCTTGTAACATCCATCCATCCATCCACGCTAAATAATCCGAAAATTTAATTATACATGAGAATTGCAATCTTGTTACCTGGCATTTTTATTAAGCGCCAATTGATCAGGAGTACTTGAGTTACTTCGGCTGCACTGGCGATTTTTAGGACAAGCGACCAAACTGTGTCTTTAGCAAATAACAAAAGTCCTTGCCTTGGCTTGAAAATGGCCTTTCGTTGCCGGCGGCTAACTTTGTGTCAAGGGCTTATTGCAGTGTTATGCATTCCCACAATCTGCATATATCTTTTAGGCAGCCGTCAGCAACGGTTAGAAAGCATAAACTGGTTGGGACCGAAATGCCTCGGTTGGAGAGCGACGTTCGCGTGCATGCCCCTGGGGTAAGGACCCGCAGGCTGCAGCTTGTGTTGCTCTATCTTCAACTCTGGCTCTATTTCTTGCTGCAGCCCACGACTGCCTAATCTAGATCAGACTTGCACAGACGAGGTTCGCGGAGGGTCTGGTTATTGCGTATGCCAAGGCAACGTAACAGTGGCAAGGTGCGGGTCTACGCTTCAATACAACGTGATTGAGGTTTGCTTGTTTTATGGCCCATACTTCCTGGATACTGTGCATCGCACTCGTCGCGGCCGATGTCCCTCGCTCGCCATGTCGTGTCCCCTACCCCCTTTTCAATGATGTGTTAAGTGTGCTGTGCAAAAAGTCACGCTTGATGCAAAACTGTTGCTTGAATACCCGGGGTCCGCAGGTGACGATAAGCAAAGCCCCCTTAGCCATGCTCCTACCCTCTTCTGGTGACTATGCACTGTGTTTTGCATACGTTTACGGCTGATGCTGTTCCCAGGATGTCTTGTGGTCGACATCGTCTTCGCTGCCAGGACAAATGTGCTGAGTTAGCTCACGACACGTCAGGTGCACAGCTGTTGCCGAAGCCCCTGGTCTGCGGACCTGATGATGGGTACAATATGTCTCAATTAGTCCCCACGTGGGCAGCCTTCGTGGCAGCAAATGGAGCAGCACGAGAGGGAACCTCAGGTGGTGACCGCAATGCGAGTAAAGCAAGCAGAGCATGGACCTGGGGTTTACCTGGCATGGATACAGCATCTCAATCTCAGTCTATCAGTCAGGTGTGGGATACAGTCAACGAGCTTGTGGGGCGACACGGTGAGTTTTTTTATGAGTTTGATAGTGGGCACTGGACTGGGGGATAGCGGTGGGGTGGAAAGTTCTGAGTTTTGGGATAAGGATTGGCACGATTGGAGGAGATGAAATGGTTTGTTGGCGTGATGTATATCATGGGTTTTGGATATACAGAGGGATCTCTGCTGTATTGGGACTTCAGAAAGTACCTATCGGTGGATGCAGATCCCGTGATAAGCCCAGGACACGACAATCTCGTGGACGCTTTACATTGGATTTAGTATGCTTATGTAAGGTGTAGTACAAGTCTGTGGTACTGATGACCTATCACGTACAGCCATCCTAATCATGACGAAGTGGAAGGTCAAGGAGCAAAAAGTACAATGCATTTATGGATATAAGTGAACAGCCATGTATGGCACACCTTGCCAATAGCAATCGGTATTTTGCTTCACAGATCGATACAGGGTGGCTATTGCTACTGGTTTCTTTACCGTGATCTGTGTGCATCTGGTCCTGCTGGTTGTCTTAGAGGGTTGTCTCTATCCTTCGCGCATGCAGGCCTTGGAGACGCCAAAATCCCAGGAACCAGGCTGGACAATCAGGATTGGGTCTTGGAAGGACGGCACATGAAGGCGGCGGACTTGAATAAGCTGGAAGCTGCGGTGGCAGCATTGCTTCATGACTTGCCGCCGTACCCAGATTTGAAAACAGTGCAAGCTGGTCAAAATGTGTTCTCAGGTCGAGGCGTGGTGATGGTTGGGGGCGGAATGCGCTACCTGACACCGGCGTGGGTGAACCTTCACGTACTGCGGAGGACTGGTACGTGTGCATTTTGTACCTAGGGATACCTAGGGCTCAGGACCAGGTGCCCTGGCTGATCCAGCCATATCCAGCCTAGTCCTGCCAGCTGGGGTGGAAAGGTTTCAGGGCCTTTCCAGACAAACGGTAGATGCTCGAGATGCCAATGTAATATCACTGGCCATGGGTCTAGACCATATGGGTCTAGAGTCTAGACCCAGTCTAGACCCATATGGGTCTAGACCCAACGCCGCCATCTAAGGCTATGGAATGTCTTCACGGAGGGGGGTCCCCGAGTCACATGGAGGGGGGTCCCCGAGTCACATGGAGGGGGTTCCCCGAGTCACATGGAGGGGGGTCCCCGAGTCACATGTCAACATGTTCCATGCTTGTGCGGGAAGCCTACCCTTGGGACGATATTCATCCTGTCTGCGTGCATGTGCATGAGCGACTCTTCCTGCCTTGACAGAGGCTTTATATCTTGGTCACTGTGCATGTTTATGGACTCACTAGTGCATGTGGACTGACAGTACTGATGGATGTCCGTCCTTATTTCGCGTGCAGGCGTATTATGTACTAAGCAGTCGTACATCTGGAAGTGAACTTGAAAGCATCTATGCAGCAGAGTGCATTAACGCGCATGGGAGCTGTGTCTGCCATGCACCCGCTCCTAAGCTAAGCTGCCTTTCTCCTGCCTCCGTGGTTTATCAGGTTGCACGCTTCCTGTCGAGCTTTGGTTCCCCGTAGAGGAGTATCCTACTGAGGCTGTAGAGAGTGCGCTGGCAGATCTAGGTGTCAGGTCGCGGCGCCTCTCTGCTCGCGACCTGGCCCAAAAAGGCTACGGTGTGAAGGTAGCAGCCTTGTTGCTCAGCTCCTTTCAAGAGGTGAGTGTAATTAGTGTGTGGAGATGCTGTAGCTGTAGCTGGACATCTGCCTAAGTGCGGTATGGCATTGCAATGCCACCGTTGGTACTGTTGGATGGGGATGAGCATTTGCCTGAAGGGTCGGAAGGTGAAGTAGCTGGCCGCAGAAAAAGCCTCTCAACATTCTGAAGCGCGCTTTAGTCTTTATGGATGGTGTGCACCACCATACTACAGAAGG